ACTCCGTAGGTGGAACACATGCAAATAGAACTTTCCAGAAAACTGTCAAGAAGTGCATGACATAGTCAAAGCAGGAAGGCAGGCGTTCTTCCCCTGAATCCTCCTCATCCTCATCTCCTGGGATGTTGTTAAAGACAACATTGAGAAAAGCAAGAGACAGAAGATTATAGCAAACAACATGTGAAACTGTGAATTGCATATAGACAATCAAATTACTTTACATATATTACACAAATTTTTATACCTTATCGGTGAATTTTTGTTGAAATGAAGAACAGCCTTCCAGTTCTGATCATAGAAATGAGCTCAAACTGATCCTACATTTTCAAGAATTAGTGATCATAGTGAAAGCCTCAGGGTACAAGGTGGCACACAGCCCAGGGTGGGTACAAGGTGGCACACAGCCCAGGGTGGGTACAAGGTGGCACACAGCCCAGGGTGGGTACAAGGTGGCACACAGCTCAGGGTGGGTACAAGGTGGCACACAGCCCAGGGTGGGGGGCCAGCCCATTGCAGGGCACACTCACCCACCTAGAGACAATGTGGTAACTCCAAATAACCTCAGCTTGTTTACTGGATTGTGAGGGGGGGGGGGGCAGAAGAAACCCCATAACGACACAGGGAGAACATGCAAACTCCACACACACAGCTACAGCACAGACTTGAACCCAAATAATTTTGAGTTTTATCCTGTACCTGCACTGACTGTGATGGCCTCCAGGAACTGATCTCGCCAAGAGTTAGTTCCCACAACAAGAGCCAGGTTAGTCTTCTTTATCAGTTTGTCCACTGTGCTCTAAAATACATCAGAAACAGGCCATTAGAAAATGCAAATGTCACAATAATCATTTGCATTGTCATAAGACAGTCACAAAAACGGATACAGACGCCGCCCGGGTCCGTGTTACGGTATTTCAACTTTACAATAGGTAAATGTTTTTCACTTTCAGTACATTATTCAGTAAATTACATTAGATATTCCACAGTTTATTACAAAATTGGCTTTGTGTTAATGATTTTGCCCTATTGTGTTAATGTAAGTGTTCTAAGCATTTTTAAGGTAGACTTTAGGCTAGGCTGTGATGTTTGTTAGGTAGGTGTACTTTATTTAAAATGCATTTTTGCCTTTCGATATTTTCGCCTTACAATAGGTTTATCGGAATGTAACCCCATCGTAACCTGGAGAGCGGCTGTATAGACAAAGACACAGTGTCAAAAAAGTGAATCAATTAAAAGCACCTTAAATTCATACGACTCCTCAATGATGACCTCTAGCTTGCGGTGCTGCCCTAAGACCGGTTTGCCCATCTCTGCGATTCTCTTTGCTTCTTCTTCTTCAGGTGACAACTTTCGGTCTGGTAAGAAAAGAAAAACAGAGAAAACAAGGAAAATAAGACTGAATGTATGGCTTGATTAGAAGCACCAAGTATGGCCAATGAGACTTGAGCTCAATCAGTCTTAATATGAATCTATGCAATTTGGTGGAACAAGTTAGCAAAAGAATATTGAACACTAGATGGCAGTATAAAATCAATTTGTAAGACACTAAAAAATCTCGTTGCATGTTACATAGAGAACGTGACAACACAAATTTTGATCAAGATTCAGTTTCTTTTGCTGTTTGCAGCAGTACTTCTATTAGTGATCACAGCTCTGAATCATTACCTAAAATCCTAGTAGATCTTGCCATGTTATAGTCCTGCTGACAGGAATTTAAAAGCCTTATGGAAGTATTATGCAATAATCAGGAGATTTTTTCCATGCAGTCAGTACAATGTATAAGCATCCACATAGTCAAATGCTTAATATTAGATACAATTACAAGACCATATTTTAGGAACTTGAAGCTGTGAGTTCAAATGCCAAAGTCAAACAAAAATGCTAAATAAGGCCATCATACATCAGATCAGATATCACCTTAGCTTTTTATAGAACTCCTTATGTCCCACCCCAGAAAACATGCTACACCTGTGTAGTACCACAGTCCATGGTCCTACTCAGTCAGAGAAATTCAGATCTGATTAAACCTGCAGTCATAATTTCCAGCCCCCATGTTTCCTATTCAAACTTCATTCCATCTTGCAATTTTTTTTTAAATTTTCATTAACTCTACCTTTTGTTTTCTTTGAATAATTTCTTACAAAATAATACAAATCCATCTGTAATGCCTGCATCTGTTAATAAAAATGACTAATTAAAATAATGTGCAAACTACTGGCCTTACGACACTTCTTTTTTAAATGCAGAATTCATAGGTTAGTAACTTTTCAATAAATATTTTAGCAACTTGGTAAATTATTAGATCAGAAGAAAGACTGTAAAAAAAAGTTGAACAGTTAAGACAGGGTTAGTTAATACTCCTTACTCTCAAAATGTGTTAAATATGTTACATAATACAAACCACATCACGTTTCCCTTAAAGGCAAATAACAAATGCCATGTAAAAGCCATGTCAAGGGCAGAATGGGAGACATTTTCTTACCTTCAAAGAATAAAAGAGCTGTTGACAAAGGCAGACAGGAAAAGAAAAGAATATGGTAGTAAAAGGAGGATGAAGAGAAATACGATAGGAATAAAAAAGGAAGAAAAAGAAAAACCAGTTACATAAAAAAAATGGTCAATGAGTCGTAGCCAATTCCACTGCAAACCGTGAATTGTTATTATGTATCACCATACAAAGTCTGAACATTGCAGCCTGCCTTGTAAGACCTACATTTGGTCTTTCAAGGTGAATTGAAGAAGCAAAGATACAACTTTTTAGGGCATGCAGAAAGGACTAATCTAACGGTGACTTCATGGTGAGCAAGAGATCAAACACCTATATAATGGCCTCCAATGCACTTGAGCCTAGTTTGACCCACCTCATCAGCGCACAGCTTCACGAAGGCCTACGTACCGTTTCTGATAAGTGATTACTTACACTGCAAAGATGGACATAATCTCAGTATTCAGGTATATATAATTAAGGAAAAACGGGTCCGAAATATACCTCAAATGTTTTATTGAGTTTTCTTCCAGGGTTTTCATTAAGTGGCAGAAAAATTAAGCAAAAAATAGCGAGAGGAAATAAAAAGGACAGAAATATGATGTACAATCTATCCAATAAAGCAACTAATTAGGCTGAGTAATCAGCAGAGCCTGTGATGGACTGGAATACCATGCAGGGTATCTCACTCCCATGTGCCGTGACTGCCTGTGATAGGCTCCAAACCCTCCCCACATCGCTGCTTGGCACATGTGGTTGGAGGGTGTGTGGATGGATGGACAGATTTACCAGTCTTGTACAGGTATTTATAAAGGAGGCAAAATGTAAAATAGGAAATAGAAAAACAGATGTTTAGTGATTTCAATTGATTTGTAAAGTTTTATCATTCAGTCTCTCTTTGTCAGATATAAAAATATATTTTTAATAATCCAATTCATTCATTTTAACAACAGTATCATTGCTATTGTTAAGAATACTATAGTGAGTTATATGGTTACTTATGTGACTGTAAGGTGTCACTGTTGCCTTATATCTCCCGGACTGCGGCTTTGCTGTGTGCCTCTGAGTCTCTGTGTGTGGAGCTTGCACATTCCCTTCAAGTTTATGTAGGTGTCCTCCAGGCACTGCAAAAAGCATGCAGTTAGATGAATTAGTGTGTGAGAGTGTGCGCCCCGTGATTCACTGGCACCATTACCGGGTGTCTCTTGATTCATGCCAGGCTCTAGACTCACACTGCAACCTTATACTGGACAAGCAGTTAAGAAAGATGAATGCACAATCCATCTTCTCTGTTCCGGCAGGGGACACTGCATGGCTGCATTCATTGTAGACACCCTCTGTAACCTACAACCTGACCTGGACATGTTGTCAGGTAATGAGCTCTACTGCTTCCACACAACCTGGCCATAGAGCTTGCTGTTCATTCCTGTTGCTCTCTAGTATCAAGTTTCAGCTCTTATGCGATGGATGGATGGATGATTTTCTAGTATTTTGAGCACTTTTTTTCAGTCTCACCCCTCCTGTCGTTACCTTTCGGGTTCTAGTGTCCGTTCCCTGTCTCCCAGTTATTCCCTCCAAGATCACTACTGGTTAGCGCTACACCATGGCCCAGCTATGCAGGCCCTGTATGTTTCTATAAATCCTTCTCTGACTATGTCCCGATGGCCGTCCAGAACCCCGAGGCTCAACCGGCGGGGAAGGATGGTTGTTATAGGCAGAAGATCTACTCACAGACCATCCACAAATCAGTGCCTTGTGCCAGTGCAACATATGACGCTCATGAGTAGTGTATGTGGGTTTGTGCAGGACGCATCTACAGCCTCAGGATGACTCATTCTACAAAACACGATCTATTTTGCACACCTTCGATGCAGACTGTGGAAATGCACCACCAAAACAATGAGGACCTTATACATAACTGCTGCTCCTACCCTTCTGTGCAGAGAGTCTCTGCCAGAGGCAGCTGGATCTCAGGCATCAGTGGCAAGGTGACGGTCCTATAGCTCTTTTCAATACATACAGTATATGACCACAGGATAAAACCGATAAGAAAATTGTCTGGGCATGTCCAGGTCCAGAGGAGGAAAAGTAGCAGACTGATAAAGTTTATAAGTAGTCAAAGCTGGCAACAAGATATCTTTCTAAATGAGATGCAGCTGTGCTTAAAGTATAAATACCAGACTGCAAAGGTCGTATACGCAGTTATTTAGCAGTCATATATAAAAATGATATATCAGGCAATGCTATTTCTCCATCTGACTTCTCCAAATAGAGTCTTTTACAGTGACAAGAGCACAAGCACCTTCAATAAGTCCAAGGCAAGGTCAGGTGGTGGGTGTTTCAAACTTTTGATATACAGTATCCGGATAAACATAGTGACTGGAATTTGAAATATCACAAACAAATGCTTCTGCTGGTCTCGCCTGTCCAGAGAATCAAGTAATCAGCTTAAAAAAAAAAAACAGACCAAGGGAATCAAAAACCAATACTAAGAATGAGGAACCAAGCCTCCAGAACGAGCAAAGAGACATTTAAGTAGACCAAGCTTAAAACGCTGTTTGTAAGTGTGGATGATTATACATTAGAAGCATATGGAGGTGACTGTGGGGAACAACCATGCAGGTAACTGGTGAACTGGATGCTCGATGTGATCCACATAAAGGATGATCCTGTATTGAATACTTGCAAAATAGCAGAACATTATTGAAGACTTTATTTTTAATCTGAAGCATTCTGTACTATGTGTATGCAAAAATATTCTTGATACCTTCATTAAATTCATCCACGTTCCAGAAACACTTATGTAATGTAGAGTAACCGTGTGCTTTTGACCTATCCCATGGCACACACATTATTTAGGGACACCCAGTCACCTAGATGATATATTTTTGGACTTTTGGGAAGAAGCTCCCATAAGTTATGAGGTCATAGTTAGCTACCATGACAACCACATTTACAAAATGTTCTATTTAAAACAATATGCAGCATTCAAATGGCAAACTCCAGGGAATGTACTCCAAAGGACTGGAAATTTTTAATATCAGCACAGAATAAGAAAACTGAAAGTGACTATAATTATTTATATTGCATTCGATTCTCTTACTTTTATTTTATGATTTATTCAAGACTTTCATTTGGAGCAATCCTATGGATTTTTGCCATTATGTTGCGCCTCACCCTGAGCTGTTTCACAGAAAATATCTTTTTCCAAAAGCAATAGTCCTTCCCTGTTGGCTGAGCCTCAAGGTTGTGAATGACCACCAGGACTTAGGTCCAGCAGGATGTGCAGAAAGACACAGATGGGACGTGCGAGACCCAGGTGTACAGCAAACCAGACATGGAGGAACTGCAGGCATAGATATAGGATGAAGCACAGCTGTCAGGAATATGCAAGTACTAGAAGGATCCAGACTAGGAAAAGCAAACTGGGATGAAGTGAGGATCAAGGCGGCATTGATTGAGAACCAGGAAATCGCAAGACCAGTTTTGCAAGACCAAAGGCAAAGACAGGAACAAGGTCCAGAACTAAGAATAAACCAAGACACCAAATTAAGTAGGACTGGCACTTAACATCGGCAAGCAACGAAAGTAAATACCAAGCTCTGTAGCCAGACTGCGTATATAGGGTTAGGGATGCAGAGATCATTCATGAAGTCCATGCAAACCTAGCTTCCCTTACAGTCAGAGGAGACATAACATCGTGTTAGATTGGAGTTCACGCAGAAACACGGTTATATCGAACTATGACATTTTAAAGGCATTTTCAAGCAGGTAAAGCATGGCGAAGACTAGAACCAAGAGGACCAAAGAAGCTCATCTGGGAATACTGAGGACCCAAACCACTCAATCTACTGCAGTGTCGTGGACTGATAACTGTTGGGTTTTCTTGAGATTGATTTTAATTATGGTATATCCAATTATGGCAGTGCTAAGGTTGCCAAGAACACATTACATAACACCATACAAAGGGGTTAGGCTGGATTCTCAGAACAGCTAAAATGTTACAGTATCTGTAAAGTGGTGGGAGACGTTGCTAAACTATGAGTCAGCAAAATGATACAGTAAAATTACAACAGGACAAGGAAAACAAGCTCTTGATTCTCATTATTCAGGAAAACCTAAGTGAAAAGCCTATTAGTGAGTGGAGGCTAAATTTGCCTGGACCTGTGATGTTACTTTTAAGGATGAGGAATTGCATCCGAATGGAAAATTGTTACTCTGTCACATAATTCACACTAAACTGTACGCAGCTGCTCATACTCACCTGACCGAAAGAAAAAGTGCTCCTGGTGATGTAAGACCAATACAGAGCAACGCTGAGGCAGCATATGGCCAGTAAATTGCTTTCAGAAGTTTTAATGAGACAGTATGTCTTTGAGGACGAAAATCCAAGAATGTACCTAAGGTGTAAAATACCAGTTTAATTAAGTGAATCTGAATTACCCCATGATTGCATTGATTTAACATCTGAGGTGTTGCATCTACATGAAGAGATACAAAAAACAGAATTTAACTGAAATGCACTATGGATCGTGGGGAAAACGAATCTTTCCTGGTATTTTGGTAAATCCCTTACAGACAACACTGACACTGAAGCAAAAACATTACATCAGGCAATTGTTTCTTAACAATATGCCAATGAACTGAAGAACGTGGTAGCTAGCATAAAGAATACTGTAAATAAAAATGATGTCTCAGTTTATTATTCGACAGATAATATTCATAGTGCAATAAGACTGAAAGATGACATGTATGTATGTACAGTATGTATAAATGCATGCATATATGCATGTAGTATAAGTGGAATAAGGGAAAATCTGTAAACCATTATTCAGCAGTCTTGGTGCTGGATTAACTGTTTGTAATGTAACCATACGTATGTATTAGTATTTTGTTCCATAATTACAAAACTTAAAACTAAAATTCAACAAAGGACTAAGTTCTGAACATGCTTCCTGAGCCAACTGTAATCATTTTTTTGTCCTTGCTGTTGGCGCATTTTTGAGAAATTTAAC